ATATATATATATATTAGTTTGTTCACATGTGCGTTGCACGTGAGCCATTTTTAATACAAAACATCTTAAATTAAAGTTGTAGATTACTTTCTCTAAAAGCCACTACTTTAATGAGTATGCATGAGAACCACATTTTATAAAAAAACATCACTGAAAAAACACTGGCTAGACTAAATCTAGTAGAATGATTAGTACAAGTACTTCGTTCTCCATTTGATCCTTTAACTATTGTTTTTTTATAATTTTTTCATGTATTTCTAATTGTAGAATAGAGAAAGAATTTGAATAATAATTAGGATAAGTTATAACATGAGTTAAAGAGCGAACAACAAAGAAGCAAAACTAATAAGAGTCTAAATGCAAAGATCAATTTACGAATATTAAACCCATATATATGTAAAGCATGAGCCAAATACAAGAATTTGTAGAATAATGTGTGTCTGACTTAAAGCTTAGCAATTAGAGCATACAAATATATTGATTTGTCATATAGAAAGTACCAAAAAAATAAATTATAAACCTAAAACTATAGGAAAAAAAAATACAAAATAGCTTTGGCAAAGTAGGAAACGAATTTATAAAAGCACAGAAAAAGAATGTAGTACAAATGCAAAAAATAAGGATGGATTCAATGGTAAAATCAATAATATTTTTGTACACTGCCGATGCTTGATTATGACCTGATTGAAATGCAACAAAAGTGCTACAACTTAGCACGCAGTCAATTATGTTACATTGAATCCAACAGACCACACCACCATAGTGCATTGGAATCATCATTGTGTAAGTCATAACTTTATTTTGGTTTTCCCAACAATTAAACTATGTTTACAAAAAAATCAAAATTTAAAAAACAAATCGCCTTCAAATAGTTTCAAGATTTGAATACATGGTTGCACACAATCACAAATTATCAGAGATTAAACACCCATTAAAGCTTGTAATAGAACAATATCAATGCAGATGCTAAATTTATCATATATTCAGTAATTATACATCTTATTCTTGTAAAAAAACCATCAAAGACTAGCCCTTAATAGACAAAAAACTTTCTCGGAATGACTTGATCACGTACAAGAATGGAATATGCTAGTATGTAGCATGTTGTTCCCAGATTACTGATGCCAATAGATAAGTCTGACAAAATACAGATATTTTGACCGGTCAATAAGCAAGCGAGATTACCGTAACTTTTCGGTTTTCATTGTATGAACCCATAAAACTGATACGGTGTGTCTTTTGTATTTACATGACAACCTTGACAAATAGGCTTTGGCTTCACGTATAGTTGACCTACATCGACTTCCATTGATTGAATGAATTTTCCAATCAATAATCAATAACAAATTAAAATCATGATTATAAGCAAAAAATTTAGTTTAAAATCAATTATGAGAAATTAATCTATTTTTTTCAAGTTGTTAGATATCTGCTAAATAAAGTTAAACCTGAATGACCAATGCAGAAACTTTTTTGGGTTACCAAAAAGTATCTCACAACGATAGGGAATACTACCACAAAACTAAATAGTAAAAACCTACTAATTTGGAGTATAGTTTTGATCATCAATGTTCAATCTTGCCTTGAAAAAACAAAATTAGGTATGTTCAACTATCTCCTCATAGTGTAATAAATCTATGTCACAATATTCTATTAAGCCTAAAATTCAAAATTAAGTTGAGGATTTTTTATTTATTTATTATTTTTTTTTTTTGGGGGGGGGGGGAGGGGGGAAGGGGGGTTCTTAAGAAAACACAAGAAAAACAAAACCAAAAATGTGGAGTATGTCAAAAGAACAAACACAATGGAGACTAAAAAAAAATGCATAACAAAATAAATGACACAAAATGATACAACAGGCGTAAAAGTTAGAACAATAACATATGTATCAAAAGTAATAGTCAAACCTTACATAACCCCTTTAATTCAACAATAAGTTATCCTGAAACTTCTTATGAGAATCCTTCGCCTCATGACCTTTGACAACTTTGCCCCTAAACCCACACCACTAAAAAAATAACAAAATAAAAATGAGTCCGACCAAAATCAATCACCACCCATATATTATCAACCAAATTCAAGACAAAATAGAAGTAAAACTGAATGAATCAATCACTACCAAATATCAGTATCATATTTGTCACTGGCCCATTCAAGCTTGTGAAATAAATACTAATTTTGAATAAGACCTAAAAAATATAGCAAGTTATATTTCAATAAAGTGAAAATACAAATATTACAATTCCATAACACATCAACATTCTGGTAAAATCAAGCAATTCCATTTATTCTAAAAATCAATTAACAGATATGAAGTGCAAAAGAAAAGAACAAATGATTATGAGATACAACGAGAGAGAGTGTGTTCAAATGAATATGACAATAATTTACTATGTTTTCATTTTAGCATGAGAGAAGAGAAAATTTCCTCTTCATGAGTTCTTCACCAAACAATTCCCAAATACCAGCAAAACCACCAGATTTGAATCCAAACAATCCAAAAGATATCTTGCCAACTTATGCTTCATTGTTTAAACCTTCATTGGATCCTATAACTGAACCACAATCTATTGCCAAGATTGAGGAGCCGATTGTTTTTTATGAAGGAGAGCCTACGTTCTACTTCACCAATGAAGAAGTTCAAGCTTCTTGCCTTTCCTTGCAATATTCTCTCATTGGTAAATGCGCTTATGGAAGATCTGCACTAGGAGTTATCAAGGAAGTGATCAGATCAAAATGGAGTCTCAAGGGAGAGTTTGAAGTTGGTGCTATTGATCAGAGGCATATATTGATACAGTTCCAATAGCATGAGGATTATGTCAAAACTTGGTTGAAGATTATCTATTTAGATTTTTCAAGTGATTCTCCGCATTTGTTCTAGGAATAGTGCCCTCCATCGTTTCAATGTGGGTATAGTTTTAAAACCCAGCCTGGACGTCAACCCAGCAAAGGGACTGGGTCAATGGGTCACTGGTCAGACCGGTAATATAATAAAAAATTAAAAATTAATTATAAACACTAATAAATAGGCTAAAAAATCACAATAATTATAAAAATAACATCAAACATGTAAAGTTAAGTAGAGAAAAATCATTAAACATGTATACAATTTTAATGTATTCAATTTTCAATACAACTTGTAAAATTAAGTAGAGAAAAATACCTCAAGGAGCTAGTGGTGCAGATTGAGATTCAATTGGTGTTCCGGATGAAGACATTCTGATATGACATCGAAAACCATAAAGCCACAAGTAATTAAACCCCACAACACAACACACAAACTTTAAACTTTAAATTATAAACTAACAGTCTAAGATACAAAACAATAAATAAAGTATAAACCCCAACAAATGAAAATAATAGAGCTCATAGTAGAATTTATGCAGTGCAATCAAAAATTCTCACAAGGAGAATTTCAATGACACTGATCAAACAGAGTCAATTTGAATTAGTTAAAGAGATGAGACCACAAGGAGGATGGCCTTTATACTATTTTATCAAACCTGAATTTGGTTACTAACTCAAGTGACATCACACTTTATATGTCTTGACTTACCAATGCCAAGTTGTTTCCCATAAACCCATCATAGTTTCCTCAACAGAAATCATGGCAAGTATTAATGCACTAAGCATAGGAATAGAGTCAATGAATTGCTTCAGCCAAATTCTATAAATGAATCAGGCAAATGGCTACAACATATCAAACATCATGTTACCTGAACAACACGAACAACTAGATAATGCATAAGAAATGGCTCAGCTTCTAATCAAAATTCAGATATCACAAAAGAAAAAAATAGCATGTAACTGCCAATAGAAAGCACAACATCAACAAGCATAGAAGTGTAAATGTTGCCAAGCAGTGGTTCTACTTCCAAAAATGATAAATAATATTTCACTTTTTCATACTCAATATGGATTGAAACTCTTTCAAAGGGTGACAACTCTATGATCCATACATTATTTTGGGCTTCCAACCACCACAAAACAGTGTTTCATTTACAGAGGCATTTGATCGAACATATGGTAGGCTTATCAGGTGAGAAAAAAAAAACTTCCTTCAGCAACTACAAAGGGGGCTGGGCAAGGAAAGACAGAGCCAAAGACCAAAATACAAATCAAATTGAGAGAGAGAGAGAGAGAGAAAGTAGACAAAGAGAGAAAGAGAGAGAGAGAGAGTATGTACCTGTTCCTTCTCCTTCAAGTCTTCGATCGAGGCTCACTCCCTTTTTAGTTCCCACTTTCCATTGCACACTACTGTATAAATCAGAGCAGAGTAAAGCAAGAGATTGAGAGTCTGAGAGAGAGACAGAGAGACTCACATTGAGACTGAGAGGAACGAACAACGTCCAAGGGGGCTGGGCAACACAATTTAGGGCAAATGCCCAAAAGGGCCAAAAATTAACCTTTTATACTAAATTAAATGACCCACTCGGTTTGACAGTTTTCACCTAGGTTTTTGCCGGTTCACCAGATTGACTCCGGTTCTTATGCATAAACGATCCAATATGTGAATCGGCCCAGTTTAGGCACCGGTTCACGGGGTCAACTCGCCCCGCCGAGCCGAGCCGGGTTTTAAAACACTGAATGTGGGTGTCATTGCCGGGCCTTCCTTTGAATTTTTTTAAGAAACCATACCTGGAGCTCTTAGTAAAGCCAATAGGCAGGGTTCTTGCATATGATCAGGCTACTCTCTCCTTAGCCAAGCCAGGTGTGGCTATGGTCTGTGTGGAAGTTAACTTACTTGCTCAGAATCCTTCAAGAATATGGATTGATATGGGAGATGAGGGCGCTAGATGGCAGAAAATAGTGTATGAACGTAACAAAAAATTCTACAAAAATTGCAGAAAACAAGGCCATGGTGATGTAGAATGTAGGAAGAAGAAGATCGCAGATTTGGAAATTGATTTAGAAGGAAAGGATACAGGATCTTTGGCGTCCAAAATTGGGGTCAAGAATAAGGAAAGGACAGATAGAGGCAGGGGAGGATATCTCAAGATATGCAAGAGAAATATTTTGGGCAACATGCTAAAGCAAATCAGAAAGTGGTTCAGAGGAATTCGGAATCCTCAAAACAGCATGTTCCAACCAATCAGGTAAATAAAGGGAAGAGTATTTGGAAGCAGCTAAATGGAGGAGAAAAGTCCATTAATTCGGGGATTCTAGAGGAGGATCATATGGCAAATACTGAGGTCTCGTTTGGTAAGTCTGCAATTTTCGAAATTCCAAATAAGGAAAACTAGCCCATAGTTTTGGAAAGAGGAGATTTTTCGTGAAAGGAAAATATTGTTCAGTAGGAATGTTTGGTTGATGGTGCCCAGAATGAGTGTTTGGTAGATGATGTCCAACATGAATGTTTGATGGATGGCGCCCAAGATGATGTAGAACTGTGTCCCAATGAAACTCCAAAATTTTCAAATTCAAACCTTATTACTGAAGCACAAGACATGTAGTATGGTTTTTCCAAGACAATAAAACTCATTGTTAATTTAAATGATGATAAGGATGAGAATGGATTTTCTACTTCTTCTGAAGATGTTTCAGATGATGGGATAGACGAGTCTTCATCGGATGTTGGGGAGAAGTCCAATGGGTTAAGGTATAGTCTTAGACTGAAGTCCATTACTCAAGAAATGGTGGTAGCAGTCTATAAGAATTTTCATAGTCAGGGGGGGTAATTCCAAGCATGTCAAGGAAGGAAATTCAAAAGGCCTGGAAGCTAAGAAGAGTTTATTCAAAGGATGACTACGTTAAGAGGTCTTCTCTTCATGAGCAATCAAGTGGTTTTTACTCTGATAGGGTGGAGGCATCATTAGTTCGAGAAGATGATTTCAATTCTTTTATGACATCATCTAAAAGGTTACTTTCAATATTCAATAAGGTAGAGCTAAAGAAGGAAAAAAGAGAGAAGGAGTTGTCTGCTTTGGCTGTGACACTTGATAAAGTCTAACCTGTAATTATGACAAGATCAAGATCAAGAACTTTCAAGTTGACAAAGCCAAAGAAAACCTATGGATTTAGACATTATTAGATTTCTTCTACGGCAAGAATTCAGTGGATTACATGGCAGCAAGCTATTTAAACTCATTCAAGAACTGCCCAGCTGGACTTAGACCATGGACTGCTGTTGCCCAGATGCCGCTGTTCACATTACTGTGCAACTGGAATTTCTTTTGGCAGTTGCAGCTAGATTTTAAGGAGTTTCAATTTCAGCAGCCTAAAACTCCCATTATTCATGTCGCTGTTCATGTGACTATGCAGCTGAGATTTTTTGGCAATTGCTATTCCTTCTTCAGATAGACTTCTTATTTGGTTGGACTCCTTTATTAGTTGAATTATTCAGTTATGTAAAGGGGCAAGGTTTATGTCCTCCCCTCTATTTTCGTGGTCAATAAATAAATAAAAACTCAAGGAAAAAAAATAGCATGAGAGAATATAGGAGTCATTGGAAATTGTTTTCCAAGTTCTATATCCATTTCCTTTTTCACCACTTGGACAAAAAAAAATCCTAAAATCATGAACAAAGTCTAGTGAAAATTATTGTTACTGGTTTATTACTATATTTCCATTTCCCTATTCAAGCAAAGAAAAAAAAATAGTAACCTCAATGACAAAAAATTGATAAATAGCCAATTCCTACAAATACAATAAGATTTTTAACTCAACCTGCTTCCATATTGAGAGATCAATTAATACAATTAGACCACATCTAACATGCCTGCAAATCCTTGTCGGTGAAAATATACACAATGAGGGCCAAAAGAGAAGGGTAAGTCCTTTATTGGGGCAAATTATGACGAAATGGAAGCTAAAGTCTAATACATAATCGGGTAACCCAGAAAATGAGAGTAAAATGAAGAAGCAGTTTCATAGCCAATTATTTTGTGACTAATACTGTTAGTACCCAATAATTTGGACTAATACATTGATACAATAACGTGGCAAGTGATATGTTCACAACAAAAAAAAGTTGAGCAAGTATAGCTACACTAATTTTATAGGTCATATCAACTGCCACATTGTTTTTTTTTTTTGGGTAAGTAAGATGAATTCATTAAAAAAACCAAAAGAATATGTACAAGGTGTTTCCATGGGATGGCTGATCTTCTGAACAGGGGAGAAGAAGATCATCCATCCCAACAGCAAAAATAAAACAAAAGGAATACAAAGTCCAAAAGGATTGAAAAAAAAAAGTGAACAAAACAGAAGTTTATCTTAGCTTCAAAGATGAGCAGAATCTTGAACAAAAACCATCCAGTATAGATGGGAAAGAAGAAGCAGCCAGCAAAACCTGCAACACTAGCAGACTTAAGGATGCTAAAAAAAAAGGAGAATCAGCCTCAAGCATTACCATCTACCAGCAATCACATATTTGCTTCTTCCTTGAATGCCAAAAATAAATGATAGAATCTGATCCTCCAGTCCAAGCATCAGCAAGAAAAGGAAGCAGCAGGAGGCACCCATATCAAACAAGAAGCCTCACAGGTAGAAAAGGGCTCCAGCAAAGCCCAAAGCAGCAGCAGCTCCAAAGGTAACAAATCCCAAAGCAGAACATAGTAGAAACAGGCATCCAAAGTTTGATACAGAAATTTGCAACTCCATGAATTCACTCTGCTAGTGATTTTTTCAACAAGAGCTTGACAATCAATGGCCCTAAGCTTAGCAGTTATAAGTGGCAACCCAAGATATCTAATTGGCAATTCTCCTTCACTATATTCAAGTTCATGAAGAATGTCAATTTTTGTAGCATCATTGACTCCAGAAAAAACAGATGTGGCTTTGCCACATTGTTAAGTCAACTTATTAGGTTAGATTATCATGTCTTAATAACATCGCTTTTTATTTTGCAAATAAACGCTAAGTGCCATTAGAGGGACTATAGCTAGAAGACCTTTCTAACTATTAATGATGAGGCTATGGTTCACACCAAGAACAACCAAGAATTTAATGCCTGAATAAGGAGCAAATCCATGCCGACCAAGATCGACACTTTATTGTAAGCACTTTAATACGTAAGGCCTGTGAATTTTAATACAAGAGCTTTCAAAAAGGACATTGACATGCTTTAACTGTCAAAAAGGTCATTGACATGTAAAAAGGCCTGTGTTTCGACTGAATCTATTGGAAATTAATTCATTTTCGTTAGTCCTCACTGATGAAATTGTAAAATGACTCGTAAACACGATTCTGTCCTCAATTTCCATACCAAACAAAAAATTACAGAAACAATAAATAAATTAACTTCTCTCACTAGTTCACCCAGGGAACAACTCGACAATTACACATCTGACTTTCCATAACACAATGAATCCTCCACAACCTAAAGATGTCACAAATGTGGTGTCCAAACAAATAAATCGGCTTTTGATTTCTAATAATTTATCTAACTTCAACTTTATGAAGAATGGAAAAAAAATTAATGCATCAAACATCTTTTATTTTTAGATTTTCACCGACGTAAAATGAGCATTCATCACAATATATTTCAACTTCAATGAAAATGAAAGTTCAAGAACATGTGTCACTAAGCAAAACTTGGAAAGCTGTGACGTACAGATTGCATTAATGATTTGTAACTCAAACTAAACTAATTCAAACAAAGAAAAGATGACCCACCAAAGATTATGTAAACTTGAGTCCTTTATCATCAATTCAATATAGAAATGATTTTTTTCTGAGAATTTGTAATACTCCACATGCGTTTAAAAAAATAATAATAAAATAAAATAAAATAAAATAAAATAAAAATAAAAGACATAGGTGTTCAGTAATTATTTCATTTGAAATGATAAAATAGTATAACTCAAGGAAAGAGTAGTTAAAAGATTAGTTTCGGTATGAAAATGTACAAAATAAATCATAAAAGAACTTGAACTAATTAGGTCGATGTAGAAAAGTATGTAGGATAAGTTAGGATTAAAGTTGGAAGGATTGGAAGTGAAAAGGGGCGCCCAAATGGGCGCTGGGGCGCTGCTCCGGGTACATTGCCTACTCCGGACCAGTTGTCGTAGAATCGTCATAACTCTTGCTACAATGGTCTGATTGAGCTGAAATTTTGACACAATGCAGAAGACATCTAGATCTACAACTTTCATGTTTTGCACTGTTTCAGATTCAAAGTTTATCATGATCAAAAATAAGGAAAACAGTAAGTCTGGAAAACCCCCAAAACAGACGATGAACAGTAAAAGTCGGGATTTTTGGGTTTTAAAACACCCATTCCAAGCCCTATTTCTCCCATTCTTCATTTCCCTTCCACTCTAAATACCTTAGAGCCCTAAGAGAAGAGAAAAGGGAGAGAAAAACACCAAGGTCAAGAGAGATTCCCACCTCATAAAGATCAAAACCGAATTTCTCAAGTTTTCTCTTCTCCACCCATTTCTTTTGCTTCTATTCCTCAACCACTCACACCCAAATCTCTAGAAACCCTAGGAGGACGAAATTAAGAGGAAAAGGAAGGAGAATAGGAAGATTTTGAATCTTGGGTCTTAGATTGAAGCTACAACCAAGAGGTAGGGGATTTCTTCCTAATTTCTTACATTGAGGCTAGGGTTTATGTATATACATATGTTTTCCACTCCCATCCATATTTATCTGATATGATTTGTATGATTCTTAATTCTCCTTGTAATAAATGCTATGTTTGAATAATGGGATGGTTTGGTAACCATTAAATTTCTCTTTTCCATCTTCCAAACTTGGTTTTAAGAAAAATTGAGTTTTCTCCATATATTGCCTTGGTTCTCACTTTATAAATTTAGTGTTCGATATTGTTCAACGAAAATGATCTTTATATTGATCTTTTGCTCATTTTAATTCCATCTTGCTATGATGTTTTACTTGTGAAATTTGGGTATTTTGCGATTAATTGGTAAAATGTGAATTGATTGAGAATATGTTGGTTTACTCATTGTATGGTGGTTGGGAGGGACTTGGATTACCTACGAGATATGCCGTAGAGTGTAAATGTCAGTTGAACCCAGTGGGGGGGGAGATGGTTTCTTGCACTTGTAGTGAGTTGTCATTTGGTAATGCGACCACTATCGTACGCCTGGAGTTCGAACTAGGGTTGGTATACCATTCTTGGGGAGGGACTCGTCACTGCCATTGGGATGGTAGACGCCCCTTCCCTAAGCACTTGTGATTGTGATTATAAATGGGTGGACTAGGTATAATCGTTGGGTAGATTCAT